CCAATATTTGATAGTGGGCCATTGCCATGAACCATTCCAATATTATAAACGAATTTTATCAAAAGTTTTTTTCAAAAATATTACTGAATACATTTTATTTAAGTTCCAAAACATGTATATAATTAATATGAGTATTATGTTATGTTTATTTAAGTATAAAAATTAAACACAAGTTACTATGATTACAGTAATTAGTATAATCAACAACATTTAAGCAGTCATTTTTGAAAAATTATTTAGTTTAGTCATAAATATGTAGTTACTTTTTTATGGAGTTTTATCAATTCAGGACCCGAAAGATAGATTAATTATCAATTCAGGACCCGAAAGATGAAACGTATCGGTATAGGACCTGAATGATGGAAAAATATCAATTTAGGACCTAATGTTTCATAGGTTTGGATTTATTTAATTTTTTATTAATTCTATTACTAGTTTTTGATAAACTTTTCTTCACAAAAGTTTATTAGTTTAATAAAAAGAAATAATATTTAAATTTTTTTAATAAAAAAAATTATGACAACTTAGATCCTAGATTAATAGTTTTCAATCATTCAGGTCCTAAATTGATAGTTTTTAAACATTCGGGTCCTATATCGATGCATTTTATCTTTCAGATCCCGAATTGATAATTAATCTATCTTTAGGGTCCTGAATTGATAAAATTCCTTTTTTTATCAATTCAGGATATGGTAGATAGATTCATTATCAATAAGTGATCTTAAAGATAAAATGTGTCAATATACGTCCGGATGATAGAAAACTTATCAATATAAAATCTTATATGTCACATTTTTTACTATTTTAATTTCAAAATTATAAGTATTATTTAATCTTACTAAATTAATAAAATTTCATGAAGAAAAAATATAAAAAATCAGCAATGATATTAATAAAAACATAAATAAACCCAAATACATGATATTATACATCTTTGATTAATAGGGCTCGATCACACTATCTTTTTGATAACTCATCTATATTTTAGATATTATCATAAACTATATAAGTATATGTTACTCCCTCCGTTCCTAAATAAATTTCCAACTTTCTTTTTTCGTCCGTTCCAATTAAAACTTCCACTTTTCTTTTTTGGTAAAGAATTTGTGGTTCACAACATTTGTTACACATTTCTCTCTCCTCCGCACAACTCTACACCACATAATATCTACTATCTTAAACTTTGTGCCAAACGCATTTGGAAGTTAAAATCGGAACGGAGGTAGTAGTATTTAAAAATCAGAACAAAATAATACGAAATGGATTGGGTGGGAGTGGGTATTTCCGTAGGACATGAGAGATGCAAAATGAATCTCTAGTTTAGAAAAGTACACGGAAATGTGACCGTGTTTCATACTCTCTCCATCTCATTAAGATCGATCAATTTATGTTTTTTTTTAATTTTTAATTGTTCCAAAAAACTTTGATTTTTCTATCTAAATTAATGATAACAAGATTAAATTAATTTCTCTTTCCCTTTCTTTAATATTAACTACAAAGTTTTTATTTAATTATTCCATATTCAAATTAAATTTGATCAAGTTTTACGAGTCAAATGAGTCAAAGCACATTAGTCAATGAGTCAAAGCACATTAGTTAATGATTTGAATGGTCTTCTATTGTTGGGAGAATAGATTTTGTTATAGATATATTGCCTAACGCAAGAAACATTATACTTTGAACACTTATTTAACCTAACATTGTACAGATCGGTGTACTATTTTAGGATAATTATAATTATAAATTATAAATACTCCGTAATAAGCAACAATGATAATAATCATAGTAATTCACTGTTTAATCTCATAATCCCCCTTATCCATTGCAGTTTGCTTTTATTAATCGTGCAATGCCCTGTAACTTATAAGTATATGCACATAATGTTTTATATGTATACAATTTCTTTGCCGGAAATAATCGTTTCCGATAAAACCGTCTTTAATGGTTAAAGTAATCGACAACTACATCCATAAATTACGAGATTAAATATTTAATTTTCTCTCAGAACGAAGAGTTCAACATTTCGGATGAAAGTTCAAGTCTTAATAAATAAATGAATGGAAGTATTTTGTATATAAACCGTAGTTGAACTCCACAATAAGCTTGCTAAAGTACAGCCTTTACGTGCATTGCGTAAAAGAAATTCAGTGTATCAGTGTTCATCTAGACATTGTGAGTCGATGAGTGGATGGGCTTGGCAATGTATATGGTGCACCCGGTTTTACCGTGTGAGTTGGTACATTCAGGTAATTTTGTAATTACTTGCAAAAGCCAGCCTACTTATTAGAGAGAAGTGTATCTGCTTTCTTTATTTTGTTTCCGTTGCTCCTTCCTCTTCCAATTTGCTCTTCTCATTTGCTCTTTAAAATTTTCTTTTTTCATTTCTTTATATTTTACATTTTTCTATTTCACTCTACTTATCATTTGTTTGCAGCTTATTTTCTTGTTTTTTCTCTCTTTTGTCTGCTACTCTTTTTTCTCTTCTTTTAATTTTGAAACCTTAATTTTTCTAATTTTAACTTCTTTTTCTTGTTTCTTTTTTCATTTTTCTTTTTTTCTTTTCCTTTAATTTTGAACTTTAATTTTTATAGCTTTTTCTTTTTCGTTTTTCTGCTTTTTTATCTTTTTATATATAAATGACTTTTTTCTCTGCTCCTCTAATTTTGAACTCATATTTCTTTTTCATTTTAATGTAAATTTTCTACAAGAATTTTTTCTAACAATTTTTTCAAAAATTCATTTCGAATGACAATTCAATAAAAACATATACCTCTCTCGCTTTTGTATTAAAAAGCTCCAACTTCCTAATAATTATAAGTATATTATTTAAATTAAATGTGCATTTAATTTAAGGAATTGGTTGGTTTGAAATAAGGAATTGGTGTTTCTTTATGTTATACTAATATGAACATACACAAATTGATATTTGAGCATACTAGAAATTTTAAATTAGCCTTTTAAATTTTTGATGCTAATTTCGTAAGTTATTTATACTCATTTGATATTGGTGTAATACTCATTTTAAAATGAGCATTATATCATACATTTTAAAATGTCATATTCCTGCATGTTGCTATAATGCTTATTTTAATTTTTTTTCGATACTCATTTCACATATTATGCATTCTCTGATTCTCATTTAAAATTTGAGCATACTAGAGATTTTAAATGAGTTTTTTGTATTTTTCGATACTCATTTCATAAGTATGTATGATCATTTTATATTGGTGTAATACACATTTTGTAAGTTCCATATGCTCATTTGGTATTGATGTTATGCTCATTTTAAAAATGCTATCAATGCATATTTCAAAAGTACCATATTACAGTAAATTTGAAATTCATAAGAGTTGAGTATAGATATAATTTAATATAAGTTTTTATAAAAGAAAAAAAAAGTAAATGAAATAGAAGATATGAAGCATGGATCATGATGGTCATTGTTAGGCTCCTAATACTTGAAATAATAACTCCGATGCTCACTAAAAATACATTCATATCCATTTAGTGGAAGTCACGAATTTTACTTAAATTACTAAAATGCCACCGGCTGTACAATGCTCACTGTACAGTCAGTTGTACCATATACAAACTCGATGGGCTTGATCACTTAATATAATTAAATTAATTAAAGCAGTCTTTAAATTGAAATATAATTAGGTCAAAAAATTGAGATACATATAGTTATAGAAATTGCTATCAATAAGAGTAAAGTTTATCTAAAAAGCAAAAACTGGACTACTATATTTTTATTCCTTCCAGATAAGATTAAACATTGGTTTCTACCCTAAATTCCCCTAAGAGTATTAATTCATAATGAAATTAAAAAAAATAATTAAAAATCGTAAAAACTAAATACAAATCGTAAAAAATATAAATAATTAATAAAATATTTAAAAACTAAAAATTTTAAAAACTATTATTTTTTTGGATTTTTTTTAAAAAACAAATAATTTTTCCATCATATGCAATGGAGCCAAAGATTCATGATTTTTTGGCTTGAGATTATGATAGAATAAAGCAAAATGACTCACTAAACTGTCTGCGTTTCTTTGTTATGAAGCAGCAGTCAGTCAATGCAATTTTTGGACGGGATTTTCACTATGGGTCATCCGGAAACAGTCTATCTGTGCTTTAGCACAGGGGTAAGACTGCGTACATCCGACCCCCCTTAACCCACCGTAGGTGGAAGCCTTTGCGGCATTGGGGTAAATGAAAATGAAAAAATGATTTAAAAACAATTAATAAAAACTAATAAAAATGCATTAAAATACAAAAAATATGGATACCTTTCCCACCACCTCCCAACACCACCACCTCCAATCGTTGAAAATTTTCCCATGTTTTGTACAAAATCCCATTTTTTCTGCAAATGCCAAGAAAATTGCATTATTACTCTTCATAATTCCAAAATATTCATTGAATCTGCCATTATTATGACATTATTAAAAATTTTGGAAGATTTTCAACCGGTGATGGGAGGTGGTGGTGTTAGGAGTGCCAGAGGCGGCGGTGTTTTTTTTTACTTTTTAATTTTTAATTTTATTTTTAAAAATAATTTTTTATTTTATAAATATTTTATAATTTTTTTACTATTTTTTTATGTTTTTTAAAATATTTTTATTATTATTTTTATTTTATTATTAATTAAGACATTTCAAAAGTTACAAGAGTATGTTTGTCCTACACACATAAATAGTTCTACCTTGGGGAAATTTAAAAGATATAGTCTTATATGTGCTCTTTGATCACTTTTTTGTTCTATTTAGGTAATTCACTCATATAATTAAAGTTCAATAGCTGACGATATATAATAAGTACAAATTGCTTTGGAGATAATTAAAGTTCAATAGCTAACTCAAAATCATACAACATCAAAAATCATGTTGACAATTGACAAAAACAGATAAAAAAGGACGATATATAATAAGTACAAATTGCTTTGGAGATTTTTATAAAAAAAACGCATGACCGGGTGACATCTACGTACAAAAGTGGTCTTTTGACCTCAATACTGAGATGTCAGTAGTGAGCTTGAAAATCAGTATAAATAGACACAAGCACGTACTTCTAGCTAAGAACAAGCTCAAATCGAAAGAAGATCTGTCTGATCGGATCCGACCGGTGGTCATGAGCTCAAGCAGTCATAGCAGTGGCGGTGGACGTGGCGGCGACGCTGCCGGAGTGTTGGGTCCGTGCGGAGCATGCAAGTTCTTGAGGAGGAAGTGCGTGGCGGGATGCATTTTCGCTCCATTCTTCGACCCGGAACAAGGCCCCTCTGTTTTTGCATCAGTTCACAAGGTGTTCGGAGCAAGCAACTTTTCCAAGCTCCTCCGCCACATTCCACCCCACCGCCGCGCCGACGCCGTCGTCACCGTCTGCTTTGAGGCTCAGGCTCGCCTCCGTGACCCTGTCTATGGCTGTGTTTCTCACATCTTCTCCTATCAGAAACAGGTATATTAATTTACATATATGTCCAACTCGATCTTTCCCTCCGCTCACAACAAAAAATCTAACAAAAAATGATAAGGACCAAATCCATTTTTGCTAAATTTGATGATATTTGAAGTATTTCTTTGACTGAATCCAGTGGTTGAACCTTGAATAGACGTCATCCTTTTTTGAAAATAAAGTGAAGTACTATAGTTTATTCAATTGGTAAGATTAAGTAATTATCACCCCATGAATGAATTTCATAATGCTTGTGCGTGTATTTGCACCATCCGTCCTCGAGTAATTATGACAACCCATTTGGTAATTGAGTTTTTTACAAGAATATTACTAAAATAAGTCATATTTACATAAATATGACTATTAATTACTACAATGTGGTGTTGTGCTAATTTAAGCTCAAAATTTGAACATGAATTACTATGATTTCATTACTACTCTAGTCATTAATCATATTTTTGTAAATCATCTTTATTTTGATCATATTTATGTAATTATTTTTCTTGGTAATTTGTATTTTTAATTTATCGGTCAATTTATGACCTCTTTCGATGTTTTTAATTAGAATGATTTTTTTGTCAGATCTATATCTGATATGGTCTGAAATTGTTTGTTTGGATCGAACTAAGTAATAACATTCTTGCCTATTCCCCGTTTTCCTTTTTTTTTCTCTACTATTTTTTATATTTTCTTTCATGTTTTTGTTATCTTTTTATTGTCGTTCCACATTTAGGATGTTTTTACTTGGACTGAATTTTTTTAGTATGATTTGGTCTGGTCTGAACTAGTTGGATGTGGTCTGGTAATGTCTGATCTTTCAGTATTTTATAACTATTCAAGTTTGATCTTGTCAGGCCTGGTCTGGACTGGTCTGATCTAGTCTAGACTAGACTAATCTGATCTGATTTGATCTGTTCTTGTCTGGGACTGAAAATTGTCCAAGTAAAAACATCCTCAGTATCTTTTATGGACTATGGAGTACTATGTTTTTCTTAATTATTAAATTTGGTTCTTATCATTTTCGGAAATTGATTTGGACCTTATCATTTTCAGACGGATATCTAATATTGTGTACGTGTTTAATTAAGTCTAGTCTATGTTTTTCTTAATTTAACTTCGGTCCTTATCATTTTTTTGAAAAAACACAGTCTTTCATGAACTGTGGCGCGATCCAGAAGCAGTGTGTAGTCGTGAGAAGGGGTATTATTGTCCCACACTGGATATCTCTAAAATAATTAAACACATTATTAAGATCATGAGTTAATTCTCCTATCAGGTTGACCTTTTAGGATGGAAGCCCAAATCTTAATATCATAATAGATCGGATGAGACTTACATAGACCAAATCAGAACATACCAAACTAAAAACAGACCAGACTAGACATAAACAAGATAAACTAGACTAGACTTAATTACACATGTACACCAGACAAGACCAGATCAGATTTCGAAAGTTGTTAAATACACAAAGACTATACATCTATCAAATTAATTTAGGCCAGCCAGGCCGGAGCATAGTCATAAGATCCAACAAGAAATTAAAGTTCTAATCTAATTTAAAGCAGTCATAGTATGTATTTTAATTGGACTAGTTTTAGTCCCATCTTCGATTAGACTAGCCTTCGCGTAGGACAAACATATAACAAATCATATCAAATTCATTTGACCAGATCACGTTAATTTAATTCAGATTAAACTAGATCAAATCACATTTAAATAAATACCTCAAAATTTGAATCCAATTAACAATATCATTACCTAAACATTGATCGTCATACGTAATAATATTCAAAGTTGAAAAGGTGTGACCACAAACAAACATGCATTATGTGACGACTATTTCATTGGTCTTTAATTTATGCGTTACGTATTTACGTGTGCGGAGTAAATGTTTTCAGTTAGTATTAAATCTTTTTTGACGGCCTTTTTAGTCTCTTATTATAGTACTCCATATCTGTTTAATGTTAAATGCCAACATTCTTGAGTAGGATGAGTTTTGAGCCGCACATATAATGTTTTGATTTGGATAGACATGATAGTTATTGGGTTAACTCAAATGAATATAGTACAACTTTGTTTGAATGAAAGGTAAACTAAATGAATATGTTCAATTTACTTACAAAGAAAATAATTTAACCTCCAAAATCTCATATTTAAATGTTCCTCAATAAATATGTACTACTTCATTGGAAGTTTGGGAGGTTCTAGAAGGTAAATTTAGGTTCTCTTTAAAATTAGATTTTTATTGATCACTAAGGACACATTTACTTCAAGGATTATTAACCAGTGCTTATTAAGACTTGCGTTAGTAAGTGGTGCGTAAAATAAGCAGTGTAATAAGCTCGTGTTTACATCACAGGATTTAAAGCACTTTTAACATTAAAATGTCCAAAATAACTTTATACATATATAGTCATATAGATACACAAACACTCATGTACACAAGTATATAATATAATATGTGGGGGTCACCTCGTACGTGTACCCATACGCTAACCCCTACCACGTGCCCCCCTCCCTACCCATTCCTTCCAACCCTACCCTACCCCTACCCACCTCTTAATCCCTACTCCTTTCCTACCCTTACCCTCTACCCCAATTCCAACCATACACCTACCCCTACCCCTACCCCTAACCCCTTAACCCCTGCCTACCCCTACCCCTATCATGACCCTACCTCTGTCCCTCACCCTACCTGACTCGTACCTTATCCCTTACCTCATTGGGTATGTTAGGCTAGAGATTAATGGGTGGGGGTAAGGGTACGAGCCTATTAGTCAGGGTAGGGGTAACAATAACATGTACAAGGTAAGGGTAAGGGGGTACGGGTACGCCCGTTGGGGTGCGATATGGTTAGGGCAGGAGTAAGGGGTACGAGTAGGGTTGGGGTAAGGGTGGTAAGGATTGGGATAAAGTGGGTGGAGGAGGGTAGGGTATGCGGGTAGGGGGAAGGGGTAGGGGTAGGGGTAATGGGTGTGGTCAGGGTAGGAGGTAGGGGTAAGGGGTACGAATATGAAGGATGGGGGTGGGATGGGGTAAGGGGTATGGTCAGGGTATGGTGGTAAAGGTTTGGGATGGCATAGGGGTAGGGGTAAGTGTGACGAGGGATGGGGGTAGCTAGGGTGGGGGTAGGGTATGCAAGTAAGTAGGGTTGGGGCATGTAGGGGGTAGAGGTAAGGGTATGCATTACAAGGGCTAAGGGGTACGAGGGGTAGGTAGGGGAGGGGTCGGGCCGGGTCAAGTGGGGCTAGGTAAGGTAGGGTGGGTAGGGGTAAGGTTAGGATATTGGTATAGGGGTAGGGTAGGGGTAACAGTAAGGGGTAAGGATAAGGGTAAATTCGGAAACTGAAAAAACTTAAAGTGGCGCTTAATTAATACATGGGGGGTTGGTATGCTTAGTAAGCAACATTTTAAGCACTTATTTCGGTTAGTAAGAGGTTTTTTAAACAGCCTTCATGTTTACTTCACGTGTCTTACTAACTTAAGTGTGACTTTAGCAGTGAAGTGAACACATCCTAAATGTAAAATAAACTAGGTGAACCTAAAATTGAACACAAAACAACTTAAGTTGACTTTAAAAACACATACCTGATGGATAGTGTACCCGGGGGTAGCTTATCTAAGGGATATTATAGAAATATCTTAGATAGAAGTCAGAGCAACAAGTAAGAGAGGGAGTAGGTATTCGATATATGAATTGTGTTTTTGATTACAATGGAATTGGCCGCTATTTATAGTAGTAATAAATGCTAGGCGGGGACACGTGTCAAACATCTGACGGCCGAGGGTCACCTCAATCGGGGTGGCACCGGCATTCACATGTGCGCTGCATTAAATGCGGTGGTTGGACGTGACGTTGTACTTGACCCGGTGATCCAGCGCATGTGGGAGAGGAGATCTTGTTGAGAAGAGCGCCTTCGGCTGTACCTACTGGGGCCGAAGGCTCCACGCACCGGGGGCATCATATGCCGAAGGCTGTATGTGCCGAAGGCTTGGTTTTCAAGCCTTGTTCTCCTGTGATGTTCATTGACTTGATTTCATGAATGCAAAGCCCTCGGACATGGGGTCGAAGGCACGCCGTGTGTATTATGGGATGCCTAGAGTCCTGATTGCTGGGCTTGGCCCATTTGAACCTGTTGGGCCTGATCGTAGTAGTGGAAGTATGTGGGCCGGGGGTTCTTGGGCCAAATACTCCATCAATACCTTAAAGGCTTATGAAATGTGTGTTTGAGGATTAACCTAGGTTATTGCATGTCCAATTATTAGTTAAACTCGTTCGTATTTTTACAACAAGAACCTAGATTGTTAATAAATTTGGGTTAACCTCACATAACTCTCGAGAATTTGGAAAAACCTAAAATGGAGGAATCTTCGAAGTGGGGGGATTTGGATGTCAAGTTCTCGTATAACATAAAATGAACGAGAGTACCTTCAACCAAACAAAGATTAACCTAGATTCACCTTTTTTATTTCTAAACAATATTTTATACATGAACCTAGGTTCACTTAAATAAGCCTAGTTTTTATTAAAAATTAGGTTTATTTTATTGCACTAGGTTTACTTAAATTCACTTTACCAAACACAGCATTAAAGCCTGAAAACCGGAAGAGGTTTAGGATGGGAGTTTTAAGTATTTTAATTCCTCTTAAGATTTAAGACTAGCGTTTCAAGACTTCATCTAAACCTGTTTATGTGTCTGGTTCGGACCAGAACCCAACTCAGAGCCTCCTTACTCCTATCCTATATTCAAGACAAGACTTATTTAGTCTTTCATGTAAAAATCATCTTTTAAAAAAAGCGCTTTCCTTTTTAAAAATAAAACAAGTCATACTACGTCCAATTTTTTTTATCGGAAAACAAGTCATACTTGGTGTACTTTTTGTTACATTTTATCTATATCACAGATGATTTGTATAAAGTTTTCAATTTTTTTTTTGTATTTTTAGATGAATTGTTTGTTTTTATAAATCAAGTTGCATGTAATAATGAAAAATGTACGTCATATGTACAAACTATGTATACAAAGAGCATTTTTCAAATGAAACTGTTGGTTTTATTTGAACAAAATTGTTGATCTACTTTAAATATAGGTAGCTTTTTCTACTTATTAGGGTGTTATAATAGTAAATGACATTTTATTCCAGGTGGAACACTTGCAAGCTGAACTCTCCTTCTTAGAAGCCGAGTTGGCAGCTCTCCGAGCCTTAATTCCGCCACCGCCTAAATTCCCCTCGGCGGTAAATATTCCTGCCGGCTACTCTACAGCTACTCTTGGAACCTATGACTATGATGACTTCTCATCTCTATTTGACCTAATTTCACAGCCTGCATTGCAATCCCGCCGTCAGTTTGGAAGATCTGCAAAAGATTCGGTGGATGACGGGTCATCTGCTTCATCGTCCGCCACCGACGCCGGTGTTCTTCAAGAGTTGACCCTCCGAGCTATGCAGGGGCGGAGCATTAACTAGGCCGGGTTCTAGACAATAATGTATTATCCATCGATCCGCGGCGTCCCTAATGCTCGATCGGTCAATTACTCATCAGTAATAATAATGTGTATCAGTTGATCATTTTAATTTAGTATTTGCTTTCATTTTCTGGCTATGGAATTTGATTGGCAGAGCTTATTTGTTATTGCTTAAATACAATTTCATCTTTTAAGATAAACTTTCGTTCTTAGATGAAATGTGGTACTAATGGTATATCATATTTTGAAATTAGTATTGAATTAATTACTCAATTTTATTAAGTAAAAGCTATGTTTAAAAATCCGATCCGACCCGGCTGGGTCAACCCGGAACCCGGTGACCCGGATCGAAACCCGGTTCGATTAATTAAAAACCCGGAAATGGTAAAAAACCGGAAAAACCCGGCTGACCCGGTCCAAATCCGGATCCGAAAAACCTGATAAACCCGGAAAACTCGATTTTGGTTTTTTAACCTTTTTTTTTTTAAATTTTAAAGCATTTTAACCAATAAAAATTGTAATTTAAATACCCTAAAAAGAAAAAATATGCAATATATTTATATACTACATTTTTTTATGATTAAAAATCATGTCAAATTATAATAAATGTCCAATAAAAATAACAAATATGGAGTAACATTATATATTTTAATAAGATTAAAATGGTATTTTGGAATATTATGAGACTTTTTTAACTTTTAAGTGTTTAGTGAGTATTATTATTAGTTGATTATTTTGAAATAACTACCGTTTATTTTAATTTTGTATACAATTATATAGTATTTATTTTTGTTAAATAATTGACCGGTTTTATAGCGTTGACCGGGTTGACCCGATCGGGTCTGGGTTGACCCGTGATCCGGTCACGCGGTCGGTCGCTAGCTTTCCGGTCCGGTTTCTTAAACATAGATATAAAGGTTCATATTTTCATTTTAGAAAATAATTAATAACCTTAAATGAAAAATTATTCATTAAATATTAAAGGTAATACATTTATAATACACAATTATCAACACTAATCTCATTTTTTATACCTAATAAAATTATTTCTCACAATATGCTAAAAGTATCTTATTTAATTATTGTCTAATAATTGTGTCAATTTGTCATGAGAACCTTTCAACGGGACAATACTTTTTTGCAGATTTGCCAATTGTAAGGGTGGTTGCACGGAAATCAATGTCAATGTACACAAACAAAAAATGTATGAGTACAAACACTTTTTATCGATCTGTACGAACAACTAATATTAGGATTAGCTTGTCAATGTATATAAACAAAATATTACACACAAACAACTAATTTCTGTGTACACAGACATTGGTTCTCGTGTAACCACCTTGACATTTCTACAAAAAAGTACCTCAATCAATGTTACTTACATGCAAACCAATGTCTGTGTACGTTGTCTATATGTAATATTTTTGGATGTTCACAGACAACTAATGTCTGTGTACACAAACATTGGTTCTCGTGTAACTACCTTGACATTTTTGCAAATAAGTACCTCAATTAATGTTATTTACACGTTAACCAATATCTGTGTACACATAACTTAGTTGTCTATGTGTAATATTTTTGTATGTGTACACAAACAATTTAACTACGATATTATTCGTCTGTACAGAAGAAAGTCTCTTTACCGATACTTTTTTTGTCTGTGTACACTGACATCAGTTTCCGTGCAACCACTCTGACAAATCTGCAAAAAAGTACATCATGATTTATTCACACAGACAAATTTTGTTCACGCAGACAAACTTTTTGGAGCACCGTCTGTATTTGTACTTTTTTTTGCCCATGTGTAGGGCAAATAAATGGGTGTAATCCAGGGTGTACACCTAGCATAATTGTACAAAAATACATGGGTTAAGGTGGAGTTGTAAATAATTTACTAATCTATATATTATCTTCAATGTGAATGGATGCATATGAAAAAGGTGACTCTAAAACTCGAACCCATGTTTAAACGGTCCATCAGCTTGGTGGAGAAGGAGGACACATATTTGGGGGATGAAGCAGCCACGTTTGGGATCCGACACGAATTCGGCGACATGTCTTGGCTCCCAAGCGAGAGAAGAGTTGTGTACCGCGTTGATGGTCGCGTCCCTATAGATACGCCCGGTGACGGCCTGAATGCCTTCATAGGGTTTCGACCGCTCCCTTGGTTTTTAGTTCGGGCATCAAGAACTCTAGGGACACGTTTACTTCACGGGTTAGTAAACGGTTCTTATTATGACTCGCGTTAATAAGCGGCGCATAAAATAAGCAGTGTTGTATGCTCATGGTTACTTCAAAGGATTTAAAACACCGTTTAACATTAAAATGTCCAAAATAACCATATAGATATATACACACACAAACATTCATGAACACAAGTATATAATATAATATGTGGGGTCACCTCGTACGCTTAGTCGCTTACCCACACCCCTAGTCCCTACCCCGCCTTGTACCCCCACCTCTCACCCTACCCCCAATTTCACACCCTTGACCCCCACCCCTTTCTTACCCTTACCCTTACCACGACCTTACCCTCCACCCCAATCCCACCCATACCAACCCCCCACCCTACTTGTAAGGGTTGGGTCAAGGTGGGGGGAGGTGATATGAGGTAAAGGGGAGGGGTAAGGTGGGGGGTATGGTTGGGTCAAGGGTGGGGTGGGGTCGGGGGGTCGGGGTCAGGGTCGAGGGTGAGGTCGAGGTGGGGTCGAAGTAGGGGTAGGGTGGGTGGGTGGTAGGGGTAGGGGTGGGTCGAGGTAGGGGTAGAGCCTACATATTATCTTCGATGTGAATGGATGCATATGAAAAAGGTGACTCTAAAACTCGAACCCATGTTTAAACGGTCCATTAGCTTGGTGGAGAAGGAGGACACAGATTTGGGGGATGAAGCAACCACGTTTGGGACCCGACACGAATTCGGCGACATGTCTTACCCCCTACCACCCACCCACCCTACCCCTACCCCTACCACCTGCCCCTACATCGACCCCACCCCCTGACCCTAACGCCCGCCACGAACCCCCCGACCCCACCCTTGACCCGACCATACCCCCCCCCCACCTTACCCCTCCCCTTTACCCCATATCACCTGCCCCCACCTCGACCCAACCCTTACAAGTAGGGTGGGGGGTTGGTATGGGTGGGAGTAGGGGTGGAGGGTAAGGTCGTGGTAAGGGTATGGGTAAGAAAGGGGTGGGGGTCAAGGGTGTGGAATTGGAGGTAGCGTGAGAGGTGGGGGTACAAGGCAGGATAGGGGTTAGGGGTGTGGATAAGCGACTAAGCGTACGAGGTGACCCCACATATTATATTATATACTTGTGTTCATGAATGTTTGTGTGTGTATATCTATAGAGTTATTTTGGATATTTTAATGTTAAACGGTCTTTTAAATCCTTTGAAGTAAACATGAGCTTACAACACTGCATATTTTATGCGCCGTTTATTAACGCGAGTCATAATAAGCACCATTTACTAACCCGTGAAGTAAATGTGTCCCTAGATTTCTTGATGCCTGAACTAAAAACCAAGGGAGCGATCGAAACCCTATGAAGTCATTTAGGCCGTCACTCGGCGTATCTGTAGGGACGCGACCATCAACGCGGTACACAACTCTTCTCTCGCTTGGGAGCCAAGACATGTCGCCGAATTCGTGTCGGGTCCCAAACGTGGCTGCTTCATCCCCCAAATCTGTGTCCTCCTTCTCCACCAAGCTGATGGACCGTTTAAACATGGGTTCGAGTTTTAGAGTCACCTTTTTCATATGCATCCATTCACATTGAAGATAATATATAGATTAGTAAATTATTTACAACTCCACCTTAACCCATGTATTTTTTTACAATTATGCTAGGTGTACACCCCGGATTACACCCATTTATTTGCCCTACACACGGGCAAAAAAAGTACAAATACAGACGCTGCTCCAAAAAGTTTGTCTACGTGAACAAAATTTTTCTATGTGAATAAATCAAGATGTACTTTTTTGCAGATTTGTCAGAGTGGTTGCACGGAAACTGATGTCAATGTACACAGACAAAAAAGTATCGGTAAAGACACTTTTTTCTGTACAGACGAATAATATGGGAGTTAAATTGCTTGTGTACACATACAAAAATATTACACACAGACAACTAAGTTATGTGTACACAGATATTGGTTAACGTATAAATAACATTAATTGAGGTACTTATTTGCAAAAATGTCAAGGTAGTTACACGAGAACCAATGTTTGTGTACACAGACATTAGTTGTCTGTGAAGATCCAAAAATATTACATATAGACAACGTACACAGACATTGGTTTGCATGTAAGTAACATTGATTGAGGTACTTTTTTGCAGAAATGTCAAGGTGGTTACACGAGAACCAATGTCTGTGTACACAGATATTAGTTGTTTGTGTGTAATATTTCGTTTATATACATTTACAAGCTAATCCTAATATTAGTTGTTTGTACAGATCGATAAAAAGTGTTTGTACTCATACATTTTTTGTTTGTGTACATCGACATTGATTTCCGTGCAACCACCCTTACAATTGGCAAATCTGCAAAAAAGTATTGTCCCGTTGAAAGGTTCTCATGACAAAATGACACAGTTATTAGACAATAATTAAATAAGATACTTTTAGCATATTGTGAGAAATAATTTTAATAGGTATAAAAAATGAGATTAGTGTTGATAATTGTGATTTATAAATGTATTATCTTTAATATTTAATGAATAATTTTTCATTTAAGGTTATTAATTGTTTTCTAAAATGAAAATATGAACCTTTATATCTATGTTTAAGAAACCGGACCGGAAAGCTAGCGACCGACCGCGTGACCGGGTCACGGGTCAACCTAGACCCGATCAGGTCAACCCGGTCAACGCTATAAAACCGGTCAATTATTTAACAAAAATAAATACTATATAATTGTATACAAACTTAAAATAAACGGTATTTATTTCAAAATAATGAACTAATAATAATACTCACTAAACATTTAAAAGTTAAAAAAGTCTCATAATATTCCAAAATACCATTTTAATCTTATTAAAATATATAACGATACTCCATATTTGTTTCTTTTATTGGACATTTATTATA